CCAGCCGTCATACCACGGCTGGCTCCAGCCACTTGCACAGACATATCAGTGTCCCTGGTTACCAGGTAACCAGGGACACTGATCTCCAGACAGCCCAACTCTCCCGGGCGCTCCGGGAGTCCTCTGCTATTAGATAGCGGCTACCGGCCGCCCGGGAGAGAAACACTTTCTTCCAGAAAGGTTTACTCTGCTCGATTGAGCAGAGTAAACCTTTCCCTGCTCTGTTTTCTTTTGACATCTGAGCCGTTGGCTGGCGTCAGAATTAAAAAAAAAATCACCATAGGAATGCATAGCTAGATTCCTATTGGCTATTTCAATTTGCAATAGCCAATAGCAAACTAGCTATTGCACCCACGCTACTGCTGCTGTCAATCAGCAGAGGGGACCTGAAGGTCTCCATCAGGTCCCCTCTAGTGATTGACAGCAGAAGAGGGCGGGTGCAATAGCTAGTTAGATATTGGCTATTGCAAAGTCAAATAGCCAATAGGAATCTAGCTATGCCTTCCTATGGTGATTTTTTTTTTATTCTGACGGCAGCAGAACCGCCCTGCCAATATAAAACAGTTGGGCGGAGCTTGCTGTCACTGCTAGCTCGGCCCAATCGTTTTCTATTTTATTTTTTCTACTTTTTTAACTGTTTTTCTATTCTGCTCGGTACCACAGAGGTACAGAGCAGAATAGCCGAGCAGAATGCCGCCCGCGGCATTCGGCTATTTACTCACTGCTGTTCGGCATCTATGAGAATAGGCCGAACAGCAGTGAGTAGCCTGCCGGAGGTTCGGATTAGCTGATCCAGATGTTGGATCGGCTGAGTCGAAATCCTTCTGCACTTCGTGTCGGCCGAAGATGCTGAGCATGTTCGGCCCGACCCAAAGCTGCATGAAGCAAGCCGATGCACGGCTGATTTCAGCCGATATACGGCTGGAATCAGCCGTACAAGCCTGAAGTGAATAGCTGAACAGCGTTCGGCTCACTTCACTTTGGGTCGTTTATTCACTCGGCTGCCTACAGCAGCTTAGTGAATAGACCCCTAGGTTTAACAAAGATACCTATGCATCTGTCTTTTCAAAAGGGAAAAAAGTATGTTCATCCTGATTGGCTGTGATCCTACGATCGGCTAACACACGAACTGTCAGGGTGTTCGGCTGGCTGTTCTCCAGCCGTACACCCCACACAAGGCACTGTGCCTTGTGAGCCCTGATTGGCTGAAGCCTTGCACCTGGCCCAATCAAGACACAGAGAACAGTGAGAGCCATGACTGGGCAAAGTCATGATGACTATGCCCAATCATGGCTCACTCTGTTACAACTGTAAACAGTTAGGCGGAGCTAGCTGTCACTGCTAGCTCCACCAAAATGTTTATATGTTACCGGCATCTGTCAAAATGCCATTATGAGGCGGGTGTTCGTCGCAACAACGGGATGGCGCTTGTCGTTTTTAAAAAAATTATTTCTATTTATTTTTTCTTGTTTTATTTTTTATTTTGTCGAGCCATTGTGGACAATGCTGGACATCGTGATTGACGTTGGATTACAATGGTGGATACATTTTTGGGTTTAAAAAAATAAAATACTTGTCAAAAACATGATATGTGGGTGGAGTTCCTCCTTAAAATTCCTACCACACCTTAAGGGCCTGGTATGAATTTAAGGGAAACCCCACACACTTTTTTTTTTACATGGAGCCCTTCCTCAATATTCCTACCAGACCTTAAGGGTCTGGTATGACTTTGAGGGGGAAACCCACACACTTTTTTTTACATGGGGTCCCTCCTAACATTCCTACCAGACCTAAGGAGTCTGATATTGTTTGGGAGGGGGAACTGCATGCTTTAAGAATTTTAAAAAAGTCATTTTTTTCTTTAGAAATGTAATTTTTGCTGCAGCAGGTTATTTACATTGTACAGATTTGCCACTTTACAGGCAGGTTAAGGGGACCCCCAGGCTTGATATTTGAAGGAATTTGTTATTGTTATTGTTACCCTTTAAGTGATGTTAAAATCATTGCTCCCTTACATACTGTATTTTCTAAAAGTTTTCTTTTCATTGATTCCTGTCTCCCAGGGCAGTACCCGGATCCCCATACACGTTTTATGGCCAATAACTTGCATATAAGCCCTCTTAAAGGGGACAATTGTTTTTGACAGTTCTACCCCCGTTGACTTGCATTGAGTTCGAATTCAAACTTTTTGCATGTTCTAAAGTTCGAATTCGAACCGAACTCGGGCCTATTCGGCCCATCACCACTTCTTATTTACATAGTTACATAGTTACATATAGTATTTGAGGTTGAATAAAGACATAAGTCCATCAAGTCCAACCTATTGTGTGTGTGTATAGGTCCCTGAATCATCTAATTCTTAAAAGTACCTATACCCTTGTACATTATGCTCTCTCAGGAAATCGTCCAAAAGCTTCTTGAATGATTCCAGACTATTTTCGGAAATCAATGCTTGTGGCAGCAAGTTCCAGACCCTAACCGGGCGAACTGAGAAGAACCCCCTTCACGCCTTTTGTTTGAATTTTCTTTCTACTAGTTTTAGTGGTGGCCTCTAGTCTTTGTTATGGAATTAATCTTAAAGAGTTTGTTGCTAATGTTGCTATGACTATTGAACATCTTGTATATGAAAATCATGTCCCCCCTTAATCGCCTTACTTCCAACATAAACATATTTAAATTTAGTAGCCTTGTCTCATAGTTCTGGTCCTCCATCCCCTTGATGAGTTTGGTTGCCCTCCGCTGAACTTTCTCCAGCTCAAGGACATCCTTTCTCTGTACCGGCACCCAAAACTGCACCACATACTCCAGGTGAGGCCGAACCAGTGATGTGTAAAGTGGCAAAATTATAGACCTGTCCCTGCAAAACATTCCCTTCTTGATGCAGGACAGGATTCTACTAGCTTTGCTTACAGCAACCTGGCACTGTAATCTATTATTCAGTTTATGGTCTACAATGACCCCCAAATCTTTCTCCATTTCCGACTTCCCTAGCGGCATACCCATAATTGTATAACCCATTTGCCTATTTTTACTACCAAAGTGCATAACTTTGCATTTTTCGACATTAAACCTCATCTGCCACATAGTTGCCCACTCCCCTATTTTATCCAGGTCCTCCTGCAATGTTATACTATCTTGGTCTGTTTCTATTACCCTCCCAATTTTGGTATCGTCAGCAAACACTGAGATATCGCTGTTTACTCCGTCCCCGATGTCGTTAATAAACAGGTTGAAAAGCATGGGTCCCAGCACAGAACCCTGAGGCACACCGCTAATGACACTAGCCCATTCTGAAAGGGCACCATTTATTGATACTCTCTGTACCCGTTCCTTTAGCCAGTTCTCTATCCATGTACACACCCTTCTATCTATGCCCATAGCTCTCAGCTTGTATAGTAAGCGTTTGTGTGGTACCGTATCAAAAGCCTTTGAGAAATCCAGATATACCACATCCACAGACCTCCCTCCATCCAGATCTCTACTTACCCCCTTGTAAAAAGTCAGTAGGTTAGTCTGACAGGAACAGTCTTTCCTAAACCCATGCTGATTGTCATTAACTATACCATTATCCTGAACAAATTCTACCAAGTAGTCCTTAATCATTCCCTCTAACAGTTTACAAACTACTGATGTAAGACTAACTGGTCTGTAATTCACAGGTTGGCATCTTGCCCCCTTTTTAAATATTGGAACTACCTTAGCCCTCCACCAGTCATTCGGAACTCTACCAGTCATTAGAGAGTCCTTAAAAATGAGGAATAATGGTCTAGTTATAACCTCGCTTAGTTCCTTAAGTATCTTGGGGTGCAGGTTGTCTGGTCCCAACGCTTTATTTGCATTAAGTAGACTAAGTATTTGTTGTATCCCGGGTTCCGTCAACCACTTGGCTATATTTTGTGATGCACTCTGTGTTTTATCATGGGCGTCAAACCCGTTTTCCTCCTGAGTGTATATTGAGGAGAAAAAAGTGTTCAGCACTTCGGCCCTCTCCTTGTCATTTGTGACTAACTTCCCGCTTTCATCCTTTATTGGGCCTATCTGCTCCCTTCTCCCCTTTTTACTGTTTATATATTGAATTATTATTAGAGCCAATGTTTTTAGTTTTTTTTCTCATAAACCCATTAACTGTATGAAGAGAGCAAATTATCACTGATTTGCTTAAACTATACATAAATCACTAACCCAGTATCTCAATCATTATTCTGAATACATCTGAAGACAGGAGTTATGGAAAAGATGTACTTGTGCAGAGGGTAGCCCACAGTCCCAGCTGTTCTGCAGTGGGTAATGGTTGTCCTTATTGAAAGGCAATATGGGACAATCCTTTGTGGGTCTGTAAATAAAACAAAGATCTTCTTTTTATATATCTTGTATTGTGGCTGAAGTGAGTTCAATTCATTGCCAGGAACAGCCTACACCCATAGATGTTGATTTACTAAAGGCAAAGAGGGTGTTCACTTTAAGAAGTAATGTGCACTTTGTAAGGGAATTTCCCCTTAGCTTAGGCCTGCAGCAGCCTTTTTGCCTTTAAGCAAATCAACCCTAACATGTTCTTTAAGCTTTTTGTTTTCTGTAAAGCGTTAGTGTAGGACTGTAGGTCTGGTGACAAGTTGACCCTTGGTCCGGGTAATGAGCTTACATCTTCTGGCCAAAATACAAAATAATGCTTAATGCTTGTGGTGACTTTAATGGAGCTTCACTACTTTTAGTTCTTTAAAGTCATTCCTTCCAAGAACCAATATGAATAGCTGTGATGCATGGCTATAGCAAGGTTTGCAGATTGAAGATCTAGTTTCCACATTATATGCAACACCAATTGCATCTCCCTGTCAAAACAATCTGAGAAAGTCAAAGAGGTATTGTAACAATTTTTAATGTTCTCAGTAATTTCTGTGAAAGAAAATCTATTACATTTAAATGCCGGGCACTGTTTAATTATGACAAATTTGGCTAATAAAAGAATACATGATTTTACAATGTTATCATGTGCTTTATTGGTTTTAACTGATTGAGCTTACAAAACTAATATTTTTTATACCACCTTTTTGAACCTCATTAATTTTCTTTTTCCACAAATTCTTTGTTTTTCTGTGTAGCTTGGGGTTAGTGGCTATAATAACGACGGGGCTGAGGGCCGCATAAGAGGCAGCAAGAAGTATCCGAGTGTCATTAATTTCCGGGCTCACAGTGGATAGTGACAAAGTATAAATCCACATAGAGTTATCCATGCCATATAAAATAACATACAGGGTAACTAATAGGATTACTGCTCTAGATGCTCTGTACTCCACAGATGTTCTTTGATCTCGGTCAGAACTGCGTATATGTTTGACAATTTTCCCATGTTGGTATAAAATAGATACCATGTAGCTGCTTGATAGTGTCATTAATCCCACAAATATGATCTCCCGAATTACAGATACTAGACCATTAAACAAGAAGGACATATATGTTGAAAAATCTGCATCACAATAAACCAGATGTAGTGAATAAGGAGAAGTATCATTTGATTTAGCTTTTCCATACAAAATGGTGGAAGGGTATAGTAAAATGTTCATACCTAAGATTAAAATCATGATAAGAGATACATTTTTACTTAATTTTTCTTTTAAGTAAGTCCAATATCTAGTGATAGGAGCAACAAGGACACATTGATGACAACTGAGAAAACTAGTGATACAAATAGACATAGCCCTGCTCACTCTGTATGTAAAAAGAACTAGTTTGCATTTGGTGTCATCTAGTAGATCTTCCACACCGATGGCATGAAGAGCTTGTGGTATAACACGGGAGAACACCACAAGAAGATTTGACAAGGCAAGGACCATCAAAATGGTGTTGGCTGATATGAATTTCTTCAAAGTTATCTTGATGAAGGTAAATTTTAATAGAATAAAGACATTTCCAGGAATTCCAACAACCATAGTGAAAATGAAACCTATGGCTTTGATAAGAAGACGAGCCTCCATCTCACTTTCCTGCAGCAAGTATTAGCACTGATGAAATAAAAGCAAGGGAGTAACCAGGTAAAATGGGTCAATAGACTCTCAAAATATTGTAGTTATATACATTTAATAATGTATAGTATTACTTTAATCTATATAATATAGTCTAAGTGACACAATTGCACAATGTCACAATTTTATAGTTTTCGTAAATGGAGTGAAACTACTTGTACTGCCAATTACAGCATCAACACATGGAGGATCCAACTTTGGAAGCAGCATGACTTCAGGTACAACAATTTAATTTGAACAAAAATCTGTTTTCTGTCCTGCACATACAGTATGCGTATTGGCAGCCTTGCAAGGTGAGAAGATTTCCATTTACTTTGTTATGTTACTACAAGTACAAGGGAGATACCCTTGTGTTAAGCTTGAGACCAGCAGTTGCAGAGAGTTCTCATGTAGAAGCCATTCCAAGCTTGTTAATACTTCTCCCTTGACGACTGTTAGGTTGCTTTGTTTTTATTTGGTATGTACTGGTTCATTGTTCTGTCTACTACTGCGCATGCTCACCACATATGGGAGAATTTGCCTCTCTTGTTGTAGCCCCTAAAACAATTTGGAAGGATATTAGGGCACATCATCCTGGATAGATAGCCAGGATGGCAGTGGCGTAACAACCGGGGGGCTGCGGTGCGGCTGCCCTGGGCGCAGAGAGGGAGGGTGCCGAGCCGGAGAGCAGGAGGATACAGGGGACGGAGCGGCAGGGGGCGGAGACAGGAGATGGAACGGAGATGGAAGAGGCGGGGTGAAGATGAAGAAGTTGGGAGGGCCGATGACTGCAACGGAGGAGGAGGGGGCAGAGATGGAGGGGGCAGAGATGGAGGAGGCTCCAGTCGGGCGGGGAAAGCAACAATGATTGGGTGCCGAGGCAGCAGAGGAGGCTTGTTTTCCCTTGCCAGGTAGGAGGATGACTGTGGTGGCAGGGCCCAGCATAGATTATGCACAGCCCCCTGTGTCTGTGGGGGGCTTTGCAGGATCTGTGGGGGGCTTTACAGGATCCATAGGGGTCTCTGCAGCCTGAAAAGCCCACCACAGATCCTGCACAGCCCCCCTGAGATCCGGCAGACTGCAGGGCCTCAGAGGGTCTCTGCAGGATCCATGGGGGGCTTTGCAGGATCCGTGGGGGGCTTTGCAGGATCCGCGGGGGGCTCTGCAGCCTGCAAAGCCCTCCACAGATCCTGCACAGCCCCCCTGAGATCAGGCAGACTGCAGGGTCTGTGGGGGTATCTGCAGGATCTGTGGGGGTCTCTGCACGATCTGTGGGGGGCTTCGCAGGATCCGTAGGGGGCTCTGCAGACTGCAAAGCCCACCAGAGATCCTGCACAGCCCCTGAGATTCGGCAGACTGCAGGGTCTGTGGGGGTTTCTGAAGGATCTGTGGGGGGCTTTGCAGGATCCGTACACCCCTGTACAACCCTATGGTGGGGATCTGCTGCCTATAGGGGAAATGTAGGGGGAATCTAAGGCTTATGGGGGGGGATGGATGGTATTGTACTGGGCATTTTCACGAGTTCTTGTGAAGATGGCTTATACTAAAGGGCGATACTGGCCCTTTACATTTTTTTTACAGGTTTGGTTGCAGTAAGGTCCTGCACTTGCAAGATCCAAGACCTCACAATGCCTGGCTGCACATCTCCTACTTCCCGCTGCCTGCACCCACCCACACAGCCCTGGTGAGACCCGCACAGCAATGGTGAGAACCCGCAGAGTCCTGGTAAGACCACGCACAGCTTCCTGGGACCCGGGGAGGGGTGGGGCGCAAAATTGTGTTCTGCCCTGGGCGGTTGTAACTCTGCAGGATGGTACCAGTAGTTTGTAGTTTTTTTCAATGGCATAAACCTTGTTAGAGCTGATCATATGCAGGATGTAGTATTTTATTTGAAGGTATCTAAAAAGTTAATTGCAGGGAAGCTTTCAACACCATTGTCAGTGCACAATTTATATAGCTGGTTGATACCACAATTTGACGAGTTGCTGAAGCTATGTGGGGTTTCAAGGGGTGGAGTGAAGAAGGCATTATAAAGAATAGACTGCAGAGGTTGATGAGAGGATACTATGGTGCCTGTATACTTAACACTGTTCCAGATTTGTTTTATAATGAGCAGTGAATTTTTTTTCTACCAGTTTCAGGTGGTGTCCTCTAGTCTTTGTTACGGAATTAATCTTGAAGAGTTTGTTGCTAATGTAGCTATGACTATGGAACATTTTGTACATGAAAATCATGTCCCCCTTAATCGCCTTACTTCCAGCGTGAACATATTTAAATTTAGTAGCCGTGTCTCATAGCTCTTGTCCTCCATCCCTTTGATGAGTTTAGTTGCCCTCCAGCTCAAGGACATCCTTTCTGTGTACCGGTGCCCAAAACTGCACCGCATACTCCAGGTGAGGCCGAACCAGTGATGTGTAAAGTGGCAAAATTATAGACTTGTCCCTGCAAAACATTCCCTTCTTGATGCATGGCAGGCTTCTACTAGCTTTACTTACAGCAACCTGGCACTGTAATCTATTATTTAGTTTATGGTCAACAATGACCCCCAAATCTTTCTCCATTTCAGACTTCCCTAGAGGCATACCCATAATTGTATAACCCATTTGCTTGTTATTTATCCCAAAGTGCATAACTTTGCATTTATGGACATTAAACCTCATCTGCCACATAGTTGCACAATCCCCTATTTTATCCAGGTCCTCCTGTAATGTTATACTATCTTGGTCCGTTTCTATTACCCTCCCAATTTTGGTATCGCCAGCAAACACTGAGATATCGCTGTGTACTCCGTCCCCGATGTCGTTAATAAACAGGTTGAATAGCATGGGTCCCAGCAGAGAACCCTGAGGCACACCGCTAATGACACTAGCCCAGTCTGAGAGGGCGCCATTTATTGATACTCTCTGTACCCGTTCCTTTAGTTTAATTAGATACTTAATAGATAAGAGTAGATCATCCTGATCCTTGGGCCCGTCTGGTTGTGAGAGTAGATAATCCCAAACCTCTGGTTGTTAGATTGGTCCCTGCAGCCTCTTCTTCCTCAAGCTCCAGTAGTCTAGGGATCCATGACATCATCATGTTTAATAAAGTCCAATCACTGTTTATCCATATATATCACAGCTGGAGTGGAGGGGAGAAGAGAGCTGAGCGCCCCCTGATGTAGGACCGAGGATCCGGTGGGTATTTGATCTTTATTTTTGCCCATCAAAAAAAACATGAGCAGTTAACCCTTGCAGTGCAGGGGTAGCCCCACTACAAGGGTTAATTTTCCTAAAACCTGGAGTTCTTTAATGTTATGTATTACAGTTATTTATATAGCGCTGACAATTTACGCAGCGCTTTACATAGTTGCGCATTCACATCAGTCCCTGCCCTCAAAGAGCTTACAATCTAAGGCCTATCTAACATGCATACATAAGAGGGCCAATTTAGACAGGAACCAATTAACCTTACAGCATGTTATTTGATTAGGAGGAAACCCATGCATGCACAGGGAGAACATTCAAACTCCTTTCAGACTCTATTGTGAATAGCCCGTACAGCACCACTTCGGTTCTACTGAACCGAAGGGGTCCTGGGGCCGAAGCTAAGGCCAGATCCTTCGGCAGCTTCGTAAATAGACCCCATAGTGTCCGGGATTTGAAGCGGGGGACCTTTAGTGCTGCAAGCCAAAAGTGCTAGCCACTACGCCTCTGTGCTGACAATAAGCCAAATTTACTAATTTCTACAGCAATACATTTAGGATATGAGCCAGAAAGTGAAGCACTCCTATTTCTTGAATGCAGTCAGTATTGTTTATTGGTACCTAGGTTTGTACAAAATCAAAGATAGTTTTGGGTGTCCCCGCCCTTCCTCATGTTCATGGATCCTCATGTTCACCGTGAACATGAGGATGAGGAAGGGCAAGGCAAATGTATATATAGATGATGCTGGTAAGATAAATCACAAAGTGGCCTCTATCTAGCTTTAGGAGTCCAGTGGTAAGATCTTTTAAACTGAATTTCTAACTTAGCCTGTCAGTATGCACAATCAAGAAAAAAAAAACAACTATTATATCTTACACTTGTTATAAAACACCTGTAGTTTAATAAAAACAAATCCATGGGATATGAGAACATAATCTCTTAACAGTAAATTATCATTTCATGCAGCCTATGCACTCAATCAAAGTAGTAATACCATTAAAATAAACATTCCTATGCCTTTGGTTTACCTATTTTTTTACATTGCAAATAAAGAAACATAAAATTGTGAGACATTCTCAATGTATGGAAAATGAAAGAAACCAAAAGGGTAGCTCACTCTTCAGAAGCTACAAAAGTGAAATTATAAGTTTTGGACAAACTGACCATACACCTATAAAAAAAAACCTAGCAGGATGCAAAGAACAAGTCTATATTTTTCCCTCACAAATATATAATTCATATAGAAAGTGAATATAAACTGTATGCAATCCTCTCATATTTAAATTACCTTTTCAATCTATCTTCTCCTTTGAGGTTGATATGTTCAAAAGGTTACAAGCACATACTGTATTTATACCCCAGAAGTCATGTCACTTGGGATTAATTAGTATACAGTTTATTACAACTTCAGCAGACACTCATTTCTTTAATAGGAAATGTCATGTAAGAAATGTTAATTCATACAGTTTTTACAGATTCAGTCTTTGAGACAGTTTTTGCACAAACTTCTTAAATAAAATTAAATAGTTATTTTTGTTAAAAGAGAACTTAACTGATTGTAAATTTGGGAACCCCAGAAGCTTTTGCCATAATGTGCAAATATGCTCAGCATATTTGCACATTGTGGAATGTTTAGCTTGTAAAGCTTTCTGCAGTGATGCAGTGGCTGCACTTTTCATTATCACTCTATCACCAGCGCTTCGATCGCCATCAGTTATTCTTCCAGGTTCAGGTTCTTTGGGCATCTTCATTGGTTCTGTGCAAGGGAGTTACTTCATCCTGGCACAG